CAACGCTTGACCCAAGAATACTATTTATAATATTAATAATAACATTAAACTTACATGATTTAAGTTTAAGTGAACCTAACTGCAATACCAGACCTTAAAGTATTAGATGTGGGTTTGGCTATATGTTCGTGTCATAAAAGTATGATAATTAAATAGATTAATTAAAAAAACAAAGAAAAAAAACCAATAGGAAGAAAAAACTAATGAAAAAAAATAATCTGAATTAACTGGGTTAACTCCTCAAACCCGAGATTCGTGTCATGAAAGTTTGATAACTAAATAGAATAAAATAATTAACGGGTTTACCCAAAATTAACTGAATTAACCCGTCAAACCAAGTTAACCTGTCAAGCTTGGAATACGTGTCATGAAAGTTTGATAATTAAATATAAAGAAATTTAATATTAACAAACTAAACTAAATGAAAAAAATAATTAAAAAGAAAAAAAATTCATATCAAAAATAATTTTTTTAGAATGACAAAATATTATTTTGATGTATTTCTAAGTAAAAAACACTTTGAAACGAAACTACTACTGTCAGACGTGTGTGGCGTCATGGCAAAGCGTCCACTCTCTTAGGAAAAATGTAATGGTCGTCTATCTGGAGAAATGTAATTTTTGTCTCTTATTAGTAAAATATAAACTGAGAGTCACCACCTAGTATTCTATTCACTAGGAACCCTAATTGGTTTCAGAAATCAGGTACGAAGACTAGTTGCGTAAAGGAAAGGTATTAGCACCCCAACTACGCTCTATCTAAGGTAAGATGCATTGTTTTGTTGTCTAATAAAATCTAAAGTCTTGTTATGGTTTCTAATTGTTAGTTTGTCCATAGTCTAAGAAAAATCCTCATTTGTAAAGAGATACTTATTTTATTGGAAAAAAACTTAATTGTTCTATGTCGTCAACAAAAAAAAACCTTTTTAATATCGGAAATACATTTTGCATATAAATTTATAATCTCTGATATTAAAACAAAATAAAATAAAATTTTTGTTTGTTTTTGCAATTTTAACCAATGTTCTCTTGACTTTAATAAACTAGTTATTAAAGTCAAAATGCATGCTAAAACATTGTTTTTTGGTGTACGAAAAACACAATATGATTTTTTAGCTTTGAGGCACTTGGCCGTCCGTATACACAAAAAATATTTTTCTTTTTTTCAAGTTTTTTTGAATTTTTGGAAGTTTTGATGAAAACTAGGTATTTTAATACTGGATTGTTATAATTTTATGACATAAAATAAAGATCGATATTAAAAAAAATAGCGTAAAACAAAACGCATGGAAATTATAAAATGTTAAAAAAATATATTGTTTTTACTGAGCCGAACCTAGCCCACCATTGTTGGGCTGGACCGGACTCAGCCTAAGATCCATGGGTTGGGCTCAGCCTAGCCCACCTCAGCTCGTTACTGTGCATGAGCACAGTAACCAGCTTCACCTCACTTTTAGAGACGTGCACCATGCATGTCTTGTATGGCAAGGGAAGAATGAAAGCAAAAGAAAATGGGACAGAGTTTTTTTACCTAGAGAAGCCTCAATCGTCAGTGATGGCTAGCGGTGGTAATGGTTCCAAACAGCGGCGGTGTTGATGGCAACTCCTTCTCTATTTTTTCTTCTTCCTTTTTCCTCTGTTTTTCTTTTCTTTCTTCCTCTTTGAGTCTTTTTTTTTTCTTCCTCTCGGTCTTTCCACCCTTTCTTTTCTCTCTCTCTTTCTCTCTCTCTTTTCTTTTTAGCCCTCTCTTTTCTTGTTTTTATTAGCAAAAAACATGGAAAAGAGACTGAGGCGATGTAGTGTGTTGCCGCCCCTCCAACAAATGGAAAGTGTTTTTGGGCAAGTGGGGTTGGTCAACGTCTTTTTGAGAGGGAGTCAATGTCTTTTTGAAGAGAGAGATTGCGATGACAGAGGAAGAAAAATCTTTTTCTTCCCCTGCTTCTCCCGTCCAAGGAAAGAAGAAGACCCACAATGCTGTTCAAAACGACATCATTTAGGTCTTTTTTTTTTAACAGTGTATAAAATGACGTTGTTTTGGGCAAAATGCCCTATTTTATTTAAATGAAAATGACGCCAAACTTATGTCAAAGTAAAAAATAGTCCTTAAATTGTGATTTGTTAAATCGAGTCCTCAATTGTAAATTTTAATTTTAAAAATCATTTCAATTGCATCCCTGCCAAATTTCAATCACTAGTCTTAAAGTTGGCCGTATTTTTCAAATTGATCCTTGGTATTGAATTAGTGCAATTTGATCCTTAATTGAGCAATAAACTTCTAATTTCTTCAATTGGGCCCTCGATTTTGTTTTAATTACAGCCCCTATATTTACATGCCTTTTTTCAGTTTTGTCCTTGGTTTTAGATTTCTGTAACTAAGTCCCTAATTGGCCATCAAACTTCAATATTTATGCAATTAAGCCCTTAATTTGATCAAATTAACTCTAAAAAATTATAATTTGACTCCATAACTTTAATTTCTTTTAATTAATGCTCAAATTAACTTCAAAAATTAATTTTTCCTTCAATCAAACCCTCAATAAATTTAATTAAACCTCTAATAAGATTTAATTGAGTCCATAACATCTGATTTTGGACTTTTCTTCCTCAAAATTATTTTTTCTTGGCTGGTAGGGCTCTTATTAGTCAATAAAATACTGTCAAAATTTAATCTTTGTAATTTTGAACCTCTTCAACCAATTTTTAACCATTTTTTGAGTGTTTTAGCATCCTCTTTTCACTGTTATATTTTTCTGATAATATTTTTTTATTCTTTTTTGTATTCATTTATTTAAAGAGAGAAAAAAAATGAATTAGGGAATAACCCAAAAATAGATTATGACAACTACCACAATCCCAAACACACCATTTATCTAAAATATATTTAAAAAATGGATACCATGAGATTAGAATAAAAGAATGTGATGAATAGAAAACAACATTTAAGATTAAGTATGGTTTGTATGAATGGTTAGTCATGTTTTTTGAACATACAATACACCTAATACATTTATGTTATTATTGAATCATGTGTTGTGTGCATTCAAAGGAAAATTCATAGTTATGTATTTTGATGATATCTTGATCTATAACAAGAACTCGGATAAGCATATTGATCATTTATGTAACGTATTTGTTATGTTATATAAAGAACAATTATATGCTAATCTTAATAAGTGTACTTTTTGCATACAGAAAATAATATTTTTTGGATATGTTGTAATTGCACAGGGTATTAAGATGAATGAGGAGAAGGTTAAGGTCATCTAGGATTGGCCAACATCTTAATTTGTTATTGAGGTCAGAAACTTTCATGGCTTGACTAACTTTTATAGACTTTTTGTTAAGGACTTTAGCATGCTAGTCATGCCATTCATTGAAATTATGGAAAAAAATTGTTGGTTTTAAATGGGATAATGAACAGCAAGATGCTTTTAAATTGTTAAAAAAATAAAAGATTATGCTTTGCACCTATTTTAGATTTACCTAACTTTGCAAAGGCTTTTGAGATTGAGTGTGATTCACCAAGTATATGTATTGGAGCCTTTTTAAAAGCAGGATAAAAGTCTCATTGCATATTTTAGGGAAAAGCTTAATAAGGCAATCTTAAACTACCCTATATATGAGAAAAAAATTTACATATTAGTGAGGAAGTCAAAGACGTGGAAACACTAGCTTTGACATAATGAATTCATCATTCATTCTAATCATGAGTTTTTGAAACACTTGAAGGGATAAGTAAGTTAAAAAGGTGACATAAGAAATAGGTGGAGTTTATTGAAACCTTTTTGTATATGATTAAATACAGGTAAGGCAAAAAAGAAATTATGGTTGATGTGCTATCATGAATGTATGTTCTTTTTATCTACTTTGAATGTTAACGTACTAGGATCTGAATATGTAAAGGAATTGTATATGAATGATGGTGATTTTACTAATGTTTTTAATGCGTGTGAGAATTCAACTATTAGTAAATTTTATAAACTTGATAGATATTTGTTCAAAAAGAATCATTTGTGTGTGTCATTGAGTTCTATGCATGAAATACTTATACGTGAATCACATAAGGGTGGTTTAATAGGGCATTTTGGTGTTACCAAGACTTTCAATATATTGTATGAATATTTAAACTAGCCTAAAATGAAAAAAATATGTGTAACACATATGATAAATGCATTACATATAGGAAAGTAAAGTCTAAAGTCCAACTACATGGTTTATATACTCCTTTGTTTGTACCTAAGAAACCTTAGGTAGATGTTTGTATGGACTTCATATTAATTTGCCTAGGTCAAAAAGAGGTAGGGATTAAATGTTATAGTTGTTTATAGGTTTTCAAAGATTATGCATTTCATAATATGTTATAAAACTAATGATGTGTTTAGTACTTAAATGTGCATTTTTATCAAGGTTTTATATCATCATTTTTCCTTAAAGTATCAATAACTCCTTCCTACATCATGTTTTATAATATCATGTCTAATACTATAAGATACCTTTAATTTATGGTAAATGTTTATCTTAAATGCAGGTTTATCACATAAATAAAAGGATTGATTAATGAGTTTAATTTCAGAAATTTAGAAGATAAGGTGAGGGCTAAGTTAGAAAATAGATGCTGGTTCAATCCAAATTAGAACATTATTTGGTCATTAAATCATAATTGGAGTTGTAAAACTTGCATTTAGAACTGCTCTAGATGGATGAAAAGCTAAGACATAGACCTAAAACTTTCATAGGAGTCCAAGATTCAAAAAAGTTGTTTTTAAGTTCAAATTATAGCAACAATAGAGAAGTCCGAGTCTGTCTTGAACTCCAGGCATTATTTAGTGTTCAATCTATATCTCGAGTTTTAGAAGTCCAAATGACCTCATTTTGTTGTTGGAAAGTTGAGATAATTTTCTAGAACTGTCATGAGAACAATCTATCCAAATTTTGATATTAGAAATGATGTTTTGTTCAAACAAGAAGATAATGATTGTCACCAAGTCAAAATGTGGTCACCCACTCAACAAATAGTCAAAAAATCAATAGTTCTAAATTTTGGTCTATAAAAGAAGGTATTTACTATGTATTTAAGCATCTTGGCTTTCAGATCAAGATCATATTCTTGTTTTCTTTATTATGTATTTAGGCATCTTGGTTTTCAGATCAAGATCATATTCTTGTTTTCTTTCTTTATATTTTTGTAATGCTTAAGTTTTGCTTTCATTAATATCTTGTTTATGTCTTTCACTTCCTTTCCTTACTTAGTTAACTTATATATTATTTATGTTCTTATTTTATTTTATTTATATTTCTCTTCTTCATTATGTTTAGCTAAGTTTATTAAATCAAGGTGAAAAGGTTACAGTAATGGTGTAAGTATAATATAAACTCAATATGAACTTCAATGCTTATATCCTAAACAACTTGCTATTAATATATCTTATTATTTTTATCTTGTTAATTCTTAATACCTTGCTTGTTAAATGATTAATCTTGATTTGTATTGTATAACACTTAATATAATAAATGCTTGGCACTTTCATAGCCCAAACGTATGGTATAACTTACACTTGTGCTATAAAAGGAACTCGATTTGTTGTTAACATAACTTAGCAACATGAATTTCTAACAATATTTAAAAGTTTGGTGTTACTTAAATAAGATAATTAATATGATTATGTTAACAATTTATAATAAGCTATTAATGACAAATCATCTGATTGGAACTTTATTTGTGTGTGGTTTCAAGTTGAGTAATAAAAGGAGTTTATATTATATTTGTTTGAAATACCATTAGTGGATTCTCTAACCTTTACAATTGTTTTTATCATTATTTAAGCATCAAATTAATCTTACATCTCGAAGTCCTCTTTAACTTCTTTTTGTTGTTGTTGTTGTTGTTGTTGTTGTTAACCTCTCTGTAGTTTGATCTCAATCTTGCCGAGTTATTTATTACTTCGACACTCCTACATTTAGGAGAAGATATCAATCTTTTGGTCGTTTGATGATGCAACTAATATAACTAATTTGTTCTTTAGGTAGATAGTACAACTTCATGGGTTTAAAGAGCATAGTTTTGGATAAAGATGTTAAGTTTTTTAATTACTTTCGGAAGGTATTGTGGGGAAAATTAGGAATTAAATTGTTGTTTTCTACTATATATCATTGCTAAATAGTTGGACAAACTAAAGTAGATAATAAGACTTTAACTACACTTTTTTGTATTATCATATAAAAATACTTGAAAAGTTAGAAAGATTGTTTTCTATTCATTGAGTTTGCTTATAATTATAGTGTGTATTATACAACTGATTTTTCATCATTTGAGATTGTTTATGGCTTTAACCATTTAACTCCCAACAATTTGACTCCTTTACAAGTTGATGAAAAGGTCAGTTTTGATGGCAATCATAAAGTATTGGTGTTAAAAGCACTTTTTTAGAATGTACAATAGCAAATAAAGAAGAGAAATCATGTTTATGCATCTAAAATATGCAAGCAAGTTGTTAACCTAGTGATTTGGTTTGGTTGTATATGTGCAATGAGATATTTTTAGCCTATGAGAAATCAAAGTTATAACTATAAAGAGATGGACCATTTTAGATCCATTGAGATAATCAATAACAATGCTTATAAAGCTACTTTAAATGTTTTTTTTTCTTACTCTATTTGATATAAGTGATAATTGGAGGTCGAATCCTTTTAAATAGAGAGGAGATGATGTGGACCAACCTAACACCAATGTCTATCACCTACTTGAGGTGCCAACTAAGTCAATCACATGATCTAAGGAAAAAAAAAATGCTAAATGAGGTATTAAATGGGCTTGTTCAACATATTTGGCCCAAGATGGACATAAAAGGGTTAAAGGCATATAAGGAGCATGACATGACCAAAAGATTAATATCTTCTTTCAAGTGTAGGAGTGTCGAAGTAATAAATAACCCAGCAAGACTGGGGTCGAACTACATGGAGGTTAACTATATAAATAATAATAATAATAATAATAATAATAATAATAATAATGGTGGTGGTGGTGGTAATGGTGAGTTAAAGAGAAACTTGAGATGTAATATTAATATGAATATTAAACAATGATAAAATAATTATCAAGGTTAGAGGATCCATTAATGATATTTCAAACAAGTATAGTATAAACTTTTTTTATTATTCAATTAGAAATCACATACAAAGGAGGTTCCAATCGAATTATAAATTGTTAACATGATTACATTAGTTATCTTATTCGAATAATGCTAATACTTATAAATATTGTCAGGTATTCATGATTATAACTTATGTTAACAACAAATTAAATTCTTTTCAATCTTTCAAATAATCATTGGGTTCACATCATCTTCCAAATTCATTATAAAGATTCAGTCTTAATCTAGGTATTTGTTTTCTTTTCTTTTGTAATATAAAATTTCAAATTTGATTTAATGATAAACATAAGAGAAAAAAAAAGTAAATTTTAATTTGTCCCACTAAATTTTATTAGAATGAATAATTGTAAATTTAATTATTTTATAAAGTTTATTGAGTATCTTACTATCATAAAAAATTATTAAAAAAAACTAGTTGAAATAATCAACATAAAAATCATTTTTAGTAAAACAAACATAATAAAACTTGAAATGGTTAATTTCTTCAAACTCTACCAACTTCAACTTTCATTTACTAACAATATCGTCATCTCTCTCTTTGTCAATTCTATAATTTAAATGAAAATCTACATTCAAACGAACTTAAATCTTACCATTGATTTATGAGTAAATTATAAATTAACTGTTCCTCTAGTTTTAAGAATAATTAATTAATTCCTTGATAAATGTTTATCATGCTTAATATAATATATTTTTTTAAAATATATTCTTGTCTTATCAATCTTTTCATATTACATGTTTATTTTTTTTATTTTCTATTTCTTAAAATTAAAATAAATAAATTGAAAAAAACTATAAAATTAAATTATAGTTTTGACAACAACACAACATAACAGTTCAAAACGCAAATTCAGAACTCGTTTCGCATCATGATGTTTTTAGCCTACCTAGAGCTTTTTGGGATTCTTGCACCAAAAGCCAATAAAAATAGTTTTGGCAGTATTCTAAAAGATGTTTAAAAGTTTAAAGTCAAAAAGTGTCGAATAAAGTTTTTGAATTTTGTATATATTATAACATGAAAGCTTTTTAAAATTATATATTATCAATTTTATCCTTGTACATTACCTTATTTCAGATCTGGACATGAGAAATTGTTTTATTAGCTTACTAAGAATTTTTTAAGGAATCCAAAAATCATTCAAACATTTAGTTGATGTTCAGTTTTGTTGCTTGAAAAAAACTGGAAATGCAGGGACCTAATTTGACATTCGGGCTAAAATAAAGGGGATTTTTTCACTACTCAAATTGGACCTTGTTTTCACGTTTTTCCTTCACAATTGTTTCAATTTCCATTTTAGTCTCTTTTTTTTTCAAAATATTTTTTTTAATTTATATTTATATTTTATTTTTTTTCCAATACTTAGATATGAGAAAGAAGAATAAAGATCCTTAAAAGGTAATAGAAAAGAGAAAAACATTATGGTCGGCTAAATTTCAATAACAAAACAAATTGTTTTTAGTGCCAACATATTTAATTTAATGAAAAAAGTTTTATAAAGATTTTTCCTACCATTATCTTTTTATAAAATGTAAATTAAGGTTTACAAAGAATTATTTTTTTCCTAACTTGATTTGTGTTTTTAGAATAAGTTATGGATGATTTAAGTTGAGAGATTAATTAAAAAAAATAAATTTGTAAAGGTGTTTATAAGTAAATATAGGTTAAAAATAGTTTCTTTTCCCCAAAAAACCCAATCTAAATTTTGACCATCTATCCGGTAATCAAAAACTAGATATTTAAATTACAAGTTAATTTCAGAGCCCGTGAGATTAGTCGTGGTGCGTGCAAGCTGGTCCGGACACCCACGTTAATCTAAAAAAAAAAAACTAGATATTTAAATTACAAGTTGTTTGATAAAAAAAAAAAATTAAGACAAAAGGGATGGTCATCCGGCCTTTGAGCCTATTAAAAAACAAAAGAAAAGAAAAGGCCAAACAAGTAGGCCATCTTTAGTTTAATTTGATTGTTTTTTATTTTTTGTAAATTTCTAATTTTAGTGCTATATAATTAAATAAAATATAAAATAAATTTTTTTAGTAAACCTAAGCAACCTTATGACTTGAATTATAAATTTTATGGATTAAGTCATAAGTTTTATGAATTAATTAAGATGATTTATTAAACCTAACTCAATTTCATAGATTAATCTAAATAAGTTTATGACTTGAGTTATAAATTTGTGAAATTTATTGGAATTAATTAATTTAAAATATATTAGGGGTATTATTTAATAAAGTATAATTTAATTTTTATTTTTTAATAAGATTATGATATATTTTTCTAATATTAACAATGCTTTTTTTTTTTGTATAATCCTTCATGATATTTTTTATTTTTTATTTCATATAGTCACTTTCTTTTATGTGTTTATTTTTATTATTATTTAATTAAATAAAAAATTTGATTCCAAAAAATAAATTTACTATACCTAACTGGATTCATGTTCAATATATTATTTTTGACAGGTTTATCTATGTAAAAAAAAAATATTATCTCAAAATTTAAAAACTAGTGGCTTGAAATATTTTTTTAAAATCCAATCAGGTATTGAACAGAATGACCAATAGTTGTACTTACTACGTCAAATATATTACATAAATCCAACTTTAATATGATGTAATTTAAAATTTGAATCGTGCAATCAGCCACATCATATGACCAAACTAAATTAATAAGAATAAGGGAACTTTACTAGCAAATCATTTTATTTTCAATTGAATTTTAATTTTAATTTTTTAAAAATATATTTCATATAATTTAATACAAAAAAACCAAATAGCAAAGCACAAGGTGAGATCATGTTGTTTTGTCTACTTTGTCTTTAGTTTTGTGATTAATTTTATTAATTAATGAACACGCTAAGTTCTAAATTCGCTATTGATTTTTTTGGTTTACTTTTTTATGTTAAGATTAACTTTTAACCCTGCTCAGCAAGTATTATAACAAATACAGTCAAAAAAGAAGGAGAATGAATGAGAAAGGCAACAACAACCCTTGGCGCTAGCGCGTACACAAATCGTGGACCAGGCCGTCAATTTCCTGTTTGAAATAAAAAAATATTGTGGATGAGCTTCACCGTTTCAGAAAAAGCTTGTTAAAAAGCTTTACTGGATTCGATAAGTAATTACTGGAACTGAGTAGAAATAATAATAATAATAATAAAAACTTTAGCCAGTTAAGCTAGCCGTATAAAAGTATTATTTTGAGGATAGGAAAGTGGCTTCAAGTCATGGTTATTTCACTCCTAATTCGCTGTGGAAAAGAGAATAAAATAAAATTAACCACAGAAGTAAAAAACCAAAAGGTAACATGGGGTTTGAGGAGGGATATTTGAGTGGAAATTAAATTAAATTAAACAAATAGCAGAAAAGGTAACATGGGGTTTGAGGAGGGATATTTTAGTGGAAATTAAATTAAATTAAACAAATAGCAGAAAAGGTAACATGGGCGTTGAGGAGGGATATTTGAGTGGAAATTAAATTAAATTAAATTAAATTAAACAAATAGCAGAAAAGGTCTAAGCCACTAAGCTGATCATCAAGCCACTTAAATGGAAACTGAAAATACCGTTGGATACCATAGATTCAAACTGCTTGTAAGTTAGTTGGATGCTCACATATTCCACTCCCAACAATATCCAACAGTCAACTCCTACCAGCCTTCTTTTCGCTCTCTATAAGATCACCTCCTCGAGAGTTCATTTTGTTTTTATATCCTTAAATCAACAAGGCCCACTTTCTTCTCTCTCTCTAAAAGCCTTGTAGCTGCCAAGCTCCGTGAGACTCATCAAATGAAGAACAACCTCTTTCAGACTGGCCATGGGCGTCGACATGTCTAATCCACCCAATTCTCATATCAAGGACTTCTTTGCCTCTCCTGCTCTTTCTCTTAGTCTTGTAAGCTCTCTTTAACCACCACTCCTCGTTTTATAATCTTACTCTTAATTTCTTCTCGTATTAATTGGAATCACACACGTCTTTTTGTTTCTTGCTACATAGCTTGGTTTTTCTTTTCTTTTTCTGAGGTTTTCCGGCTACCATCTTCAAATCCCACCAATATTTTTACCCCATCGATTTTTTTGTGCATATATTTTATTTTCTTTTATGAAGGGGGAGTATTTTCTATTTTGATTGCTCGATGTGGATATATATTAATCTCATGAATCACACGTACATAAAAATGCATGCATGATGTGCATCTAGCGAAGGTCTAAACCCTTGCGACGCACTCTAATGTTTTTATTTATTGTTGAAGGCTGGAATATTCCGCGGCGCAAATGTGAGTCATTCGGCAGCAGCGGGTAGCGTGGAGGTGGAGGAGGGGGATGAAGGGAGTGGAGGAGGAAGAAGAGAAGAAACAGTGGAAATTAGTAGTGAGACCTCAGGGCCCATGAGATCAAGATCAGATGATGATCTTGAAGGTGAAGGAGAGCATGATGAGGATGATGGTGATGGTGATGGTGATGGTGATGGTGATGATGATAACAAAAACAAGAAGAAGAAAAGAAAGAAATACCATAGACATACCGCTGAGCAAATCAAAGAAATGGAAGCGTATGTATTTTTCATCTCTCTCATTACTCCTAGCCCAGACTACATTAATTTATTTTTTGTTGATTAATACATGTATGTATATCAATATCCTCATATTGTGAATTTATATATTTACAACTCCTTTAATACCGTACTCTATATATATATTCAAATTAATGAATGATAAAAAAAAAAAGGCGTTTTGGTTATTAAGAATACTCTATATGTAGGTTCAATCTTTTGTTAGCTTGGTAGGTAGATACGGCGCTAAAGATTTATGTGCATGGTTTGCCATTAAGGCAACGTCTCCTTTACTAAAATAACTTGAATTGCATATCCAACAAATTAAAATTATTAGGTGCATAATTAGTTGCATTATTCTCTTTCACATAAATACGAGTTCGCTTTTAAAATCATTTATGGATCTTATCTTATATGAGAAAATTAAAGAGCCGAATAATTTCTCTATCCAACACATCTATCAAGAAAAATGTCAGCACGCAGACTCTTTTTGAGTTCATGAATCATTTATTTTTACGTCCGTGAACAAAAAAGACTGTAAAGCTAAAAGATTACTCAGAAATTCGGTGGGAAAGTTTATTTTCCTTGTTTTACATGTTCAACGATGCTTGTCATCGTCAAAAAAAACAAAAATACACAAAAAGAATTCCTTAATGTTCAGTTCTTAACAATTGTGAATGTATCTAAGAGTACGTGATAATTATGTGAATGTATAATTAATGGTCAGGCTATTTAAAGAGTCTCCTCATCCAGATGAGAAGCAGAGGCAGCAATTAAGCAAGCAACTAGGCCTTGCTCCTAGACAAGTCAAGTTTTGGTTCCAAAATCGTCGTACTCAAATCAAGGTACGTGTGTAGGGTACTACGTAGAAGTGAGATCGAAAGTCACTTAATGCGGTTAGTTGGTTATCTTGTTGATCTAATAACCATGGCAGTGGTTATGTTACAGGCCATACAAGAGCGCCATGAAAATTCTCTGCTGAAAACGGAAATGGATAAACTCCGAGAAGAAAACAAGACCATGAGGGAGACCATCAACAAAGCTTGCTGTCCAAATTGTGGCACCGCTACCACCAGTAGAGGCACTGCCCTAACAACCGAGGAACAGCAATTACGTATCGAAAATGCAAAACTCAAAGCCGAGGTAATTAGCTGGGAAAATCTTATATAATATATGCACCACGTAAAATTAATTATTATAGAAAATTAAACAGCGATCGTCAATTAATATTTATTAATTATTAATATCATACTTAACTGGAAGAAATTAATTTGATGCTAATCATTTCATGCAGGTAGAAAAACTTCGAGCGGTCATAGGAAAATATAGTCCAGGGGCAACAGCCTCATGTTCAGCTGCAAATGATCAAGAGAATAGAAGTTCACTAGATTTTTACACTGGAATTTTCGGACTTGACAAGACAAGAATCACGGAGATCGCTAATCAAGCAATGGAAGAGCTCAAGAAAATGGCTACGGCGGGCGAACCACTTTGGGTTCGAAGTGTTGAGACAGGTCGTGAAATTCTTAATTACGATGAGTACACGAAAGAGTTCGGTTCTGAAAATTCAAGCAATAATGGAAGGCCGAAGAGATCCATTGAGGCTTCAAGAGAGACCAGGGTTGTGTTTGTGGATCTCCCAAGGCTGGTTCAAAGTTTTATGGATGTGGTGAGATATTATAATTATATATATTAGCAATATTCCACACACACACATATAGTTAATGTTGATTAATTAATTATAGATTAGACCCCTTTCACTAATGTAATCAACTTTTTCCCCTTTAATTAGAATCGGTGGAAGGAAATGTTTCCATGCTTGATTTCAAAGGCGGCCACTGTTGATGTTATCTGCAATGGTGAAGGTGCAAATAGAAATGGGGCAGTGCAATTGGTGAGTGACAGCTCCAACCAAGATCTCGCATTAAACTAGCTAATACTTATACTTGAATAAAACTACAGTTTTCTGCATGGGAAATCAGCATCAATTTCAGTGAATACAAAATCCATATATAGTAATTGAACGAAAAAGGTATAATTTTTTTCAAAAAAATGAAAAGCAAGGTTGAAAGATGGAGGTGGCCATTTCCCTTCAATTTGGTGCGGGGGAGGAACTTTCCTTATATATTTATATAGCCCAGCTGTCAGAAAATGAGGCATCTTCTTTACGTGGGACCTTGTGTTTAATGGAGATCTACCCTTCCTCGTATGGTACATTCAGCTAAAGGTCAAAATCTTTGACTTCACTCTTACTTACAGTTAGACGTGATGACTTGATAATCGAGAAAATTTCCTAGGTGAAACCAAGAGTCGAACACCCAGAAAAAATTAATGCCCAAGACACCTGTTTATTTATTAATTTTGATGAATGAAAAAAGTCCAATCATAAAAAAACAACTAATTAAGCAGGTTTGCTCATGCCTGTTGTAACATTTAAGTACTGAGGATATTACCTTATGAGGAAGCTACAGGGAATATTTTTTTGGCTATTTTCAATCCTATTGTGTTAGGTTCTGTGAACACTGTGCCATGCAGATGTTTGCTGAGGTCCAGATGCTTACACCCATGGTGCCCACCAGAGAAGTTTATTTTGTCAGATATTGCAAGCAGCTTAACGCTGAACAATGGGCCATTGTTGATGTTTCTGTTGACAAAGTTGAAGACAATATTGATGCTTCACTCGTTAAATGCAGAAAACGCCCCTCTGGTTGCATCATTGAGGATAAATCAAATGGCCATTGTAAGGTACATGCTTGTATAAACCAAGAGTTAAATTTAATGGAGACAAACATACATAACAATGCTGTATCGTCTTCTTTTCTTTTTTAACAATTTAACATACAAGTTTGTAACAACCTTGTCAGGTGATCTGGGTAGAACACCTGGAATGCCAGAAAAGCACAGTTCATACCATGTTCCGGACAGTCGTTCATAGCGGCCTAGCCTTTGGAGCAAGGCATTGGATGGCAACATTACAACTCCAATGTGAACGGCTTGTTTTCTTCATGGCAACCAACGTTCCCACTAAGGATTCAACTGGTAAGCCAAACTATGTTTTGATATTTTCCAGTGGCATTGTTCGCTATATTTATAAAGAACAATGTTCATGAAAAAACAAACGTAAAAATCTAGGTGTTGCTACACTAGCTGGAAGGAAAAGCATTCTGAAACTGGCACAAAGAATGACATGGAGCTTTTGTCGAGCACTTGGAGCATCAAGCTATCACATATGGAGCAAGGTATCAAGCAAAACAGGAGAAGATATAAGGATTTCGTCTAGGAAAAACTTGAATGATCCTGGTGAACCGGTTGGATTGATCTTGTGTGCAGTTTCTTCTGTATGGTTGCCTGTCCCTCCGCATATTCTGTTTGATTTCTTAAGAGACGAATCTCGTAGAAATGAGGTACAGAAAAAAAAGACATTACTCAGTTAAGATCCTATTAAGATGGGATATTGCTGCTTTGAATTGCGAATTATCAACAAACGAGTACAAGTTTTATCAGGCAATTTTTTGTCTGACAATTTTTTTCTATTTTTTGCATAAAATGTAGTGGGATATCATGTCAAATGGAGGACCTGTACAAGCCACTGCAAACTTAGCCAAAGGACAAGATAGAGGCAATGCAGTAACTATTCTAGTAAGTTGTTCTCCATCTCAAATAACAGGAGACCATACCATTAATCTCATGTGCATTTCTTTATTCATGGTTCTAACAGGCCCTTTTCAATTGCAGAAGATGAAATCTAAAGAAAACAATATGTGGGTACTCCAAGATAGCGGCACGAATGCTTATGAATCCATGGTAATTTATGCTCCAGTGGACACTAATGGAATGCAATCTGTGATTAATGGATGTGATTCAAGCAACCTAGCTATATTACCTTCAGGATTCTCAATTCTTCCTGATGGACACGAATCAAGACCATTAGTGATCACTTCTAGGCAAGAGGAGAAGAGCACCGAAGGGGGGTCTTTGCTAACAATAGCATTCCAAATCCTAACGAATACCTCTCCCACAGCCAAACTAACCATGGAATCTGTGGATTCTGTTAACGCACTTATATCATGCACATTGAAAAACATCAAGACAAGCTTGCAATGTGAAGATAGTTGATTACATTAGCTTATAAGTTAGATAGACACAAATTAACTGTAAGACTCAGGTTTCTGCTTTTCCCCTCAGGCCAAATTTTATATCTTAAGTCGAGGGACATTCTTACATCAGTTTGTATGTTATTTGTTTGTGGTTAGAACTTTTAAGTTAAGGGCTTGCAGTTTGGGTAAATCTCATTTATGGCACTTCATTGACTGAGAAGGGAATGTGAATTTTTTTTTTTTTTAAACTACATGAAATTTTAAGAGTGAAAGTATATCATGTGTAGATTTAACACTTGCTAATGTATTTTTCAGTTGCTTTCAAACGCTATTCATTAAATTATTCTATCTTGAGAGTAATTCAAGCAATCAGAGAGCTTCAATTCAGAATGGCTACGTTAGAACTCAAGCTGCTTGTATGTAAGAGGTAGCTCTAGTGAAAAACTCGATCGATCATTTAAAGACATTCTTGCATATCAATATATTTGAAGACAAGAACCATTTACGGATGATTCCATAATTTAGGAAACTTAGGATGGCAAACATGGATATCACTTCAGCTACTTAATGCTCTGGTGTTAACCCATCGTTTACAGCAGCTTACGTCTATAGATGAAATTACTCCTGGGTCATTTCCATTTCTATACAAATCCCATTTTCTTCTTCGTGGATCAAACCCCAAATTTACATCACTATGAGCATAGTCTTGAATCACCGTCTTGATCTCCCTATCACATCAAGATTGTTGGGGAATTCGACCAGTTATGTATTAATATTTGCTTATAGGAGGCCAAGCACACTGATACAATATTTAAGGTGATTCGGTAAATTGTCTACATGCACAGGAGAGTCAATATTATTAGAGATAGAGAAAAAATACAAAACAAATACATAGAAAAGGAGGATTATACCCACTCAAACTCAACTCCCAACTCACTACTACAATGGCAGCAGGGCTGCTGCCCTTAGTAGACCCTCTTTATCTCTTATTCTCTTACACACACTCAGCACACTCTCTCTTTTTCTCATTTTTCTCTCAAACAATGTCTTTATTTATAGGCATCAATAGTAAGACAAGATTTACAAATCATGACATGATTTGTGACACTAATGGTGGTAGCACATTAATGGTGGTGCAACTACTATTGTAGCCTTTTGACAATAGTAACCCTATTTCTTAGGGTAGGCTGCAAAGTAGTTGCCTATTAATGACAATATCCCAATAAAGATCACACATCAAATTTCACATGATTTAGAATGAAACCCACGACCAGTCCATGGCCACATAATTATTCTCTTGCTTGTGTGTACCATTCTTGCCATTCCCATTTAGTACTTCAAATATAGAATTTTGGTATTGTTTCGTCCAACTTCCAAGTAATTTGGGTAAGTAATTTGGGTTGAGTCATTGTTGTTGTTGTCCAACTCTTAATGTCCATATTCTTATAAAAACTCCATTTATATTAAACTCATTTACTTACAATCATATTCATCGCCAAAGCCAAGGCGACATCCAAAAATTTTAACATAAGAAATGACCAATCAACAAAAGTCCGTAAGAGAAATCATACGCAACCCTATATTTCAAGTATTCTATTGATCATTGATTCTGATGCTTTTGGAT